TTGGAGTCTCTCCCTGAGGGTATGTACCCCTTTCATGTCACTAACCTCCTTAACAATTAGAGGCTCTCTTCTAATACAAGCCTTCATAGTAATATTAAGCTTGTTGGTGTCCTTTTTCTCTCCAAACTGTATATTTTGTATTTCTTTCACCCAACCTGTACTTTTTCTTTGTAAACCTGCATAATGGTTACAACTACTAACCATATGATAGAGTCATTATTAGGCTGTTTTAAAGTTTCCTCTGCCAAAGAAAAGAAAATATAATCCTTTAAATATAGCCTTGGGTAAGTTCTAGGATATTAGATTTTGTGTGTGTGTGTGTGTGTGTGTGTGTTTGAACTATCACACAAATACACAAATGTTCTCTAGCCCAGTTGCTGAGGTAACAATTTTTTTTTTCCCCAGACAGAGTTTCTCTGTGGCTTTGGAGCCTGTCCTGGAACTAGCTCTTGTAGACCAGGCTAGTCTCAAACTCACAGAGATCTGCCTGCCTCTGCCTCCCGAATGCTGGGACTAAAGGCATGCGCCACCACCGCCCAGCTTGAGACAACAATCTCTTAAACTGGGCCTCCACAGTAGGCATAGCTCTCAACATACTGTCTTACAAACTCCTACTACAAACATTTAATTGGGGTGACTCACTCACTCTTCAGAAGTTCAGTCCATCATCATCATGAGGGGACATGGTGGTGTGCAGGCAGACATGATGCTAGAGAAGGAACTGAGGATCCTATATCATGCAGGCAACAGGAAGTGGTTTGAGTGTCACACTGAGTGAAGCTTGAGCAAAGGAGACCTTAAAGCCTGCCCACACAGTGACACACTTCCTGCAACAAAGCTACACCTACCCCAATAAAGCCACACCTCCTAATGGTGCTACTCCCTATAGGCTTATAGGGCCCAGTTAGGTTTAAACTACCACATTCCATTCCCTGGCCCCCATAAGCTTATAATATCATAATACAAAGTAAATTTAGTTCAACTTCAAAAGTTCCCATAGTCTATCACAGTCTCAACAACTGTTTAAGTCTAAAGTTCAAAGTTTCTTCTTACATTCATGCAATCTTTTAACTATAATCACCTGTAAAATTAAAATTAAAAAAAAGCAGATCATATACTTCCAACATATAAGGCGTAAGATATGCATTGCCATTCCAAAACATAGGGAAAAGAGCATAGTGAGGGAATACTGGACCAAACAAAGACTGAAAACCAAACCAGCCAGGCAAACTCCAAAATCTCATCTCCATATCTGATGTCAAAGCAATTTCTTTCAGCTTTGTTGATTGCAACACACTTCTTTCTCTTGGGCTGGTTCCACTACCTATTATCAGCTCTTCTTGACAGATACCTCATGGCTCTGGCATCTCCAAAATCCTGAGGTCTCCAAGGCAATCCAGGATTCAACTTCACAGCTTCACACAATGACTTCTCTACGCCTCCATTCAGGGATACCACTGACATAGGCTTCAGCAGCGTTCCTTACTCTCAGAGGCAAATTCCATAGCCCCTTTCTTCTGTCCTTAACTCTAAAGCCAGAACCAAATGGCCAAAACTGCCAAGTTCTGCTGCTTGCCTGAGCTGGAACATGGCTCCCTTGTTGAATTATATCTTCAACCTTCTGTTCACTAAGCTTGGCTGTCCTGAAACTGGGTCTGTAGACCAGTCTGGCCTTGAACTCAGGGATCTTTCAACTTCATCTTCACCAGCTTTCTGTTTTCAATGATTTCCTTCACTGCCTAAGTGTGGCTGTTTTGGAACTTGCTCTGTAGACCAGGTTGGACTCAAATTCAGGGATCCACAAGCCTAAGCCTCTGCCTTCCCAGTGCTGGGATTACAGGTGGTCACCACTACAACTGTCTCTAAGCTTTTCTTTAATTCCTTTTCACAAATTGGAAACTTAGCTGGGTGGGATCTTGCCAGCATTTGCGTTATTCCATTTCTCAATGTGTTTTATCTCCTTGAACACAGGACTTAGTTCCATTCCACATTCCATTTCTCTTCAATTTTTACATTTTATTTTCCCTTGCTCAGTTTGCTCCTTTTCATTTTAAATCTTCATTAGAGCTAACACTAATAACAACATGACAGAACCTAAACTAGGCTTTTTTGAGATTTCCTCTGCCAAAAGAATTAACCCAACACTCTTCAATTTAGCCTCGGGCAGACTCTTTGGATGAGAGCAAAAGGCAGCCATTCTCTTCACTAAGATATTACAAGAACAATTTCTAGTCAACACATTAAAATTCTCCGGAACCTCATGAACCAGCTCCTGGCATTTCAAATCATTGTCAGCGCCACTGTCTGACATAGTCTTTCTAGTATACAGCATTATGCAATGCTTAAAGCATTCCACTGCTTTCTTAACCCAAAGTTCCAAAGTCCTTATTACTCCAAATGAAAGCATGGTCACGCCTATCACTGAAATACCCTCCTAGTCCCTGGTACCAACTTCTGTTTAAGTCTGGGTTTTTATTGCTGTGAAGAAACACCATGACCACGACAACTCATGAAAAACAAAAACAACAACAACAAAAACATTAAATTGGTGAGGCTCACTCAGTTTCAGAGGTTTAGTCCATTAACAGCATGACAGGGAGCATGGGGGCATGCAGGCAGATGTGGTGCTGGAGAATGCTGTGCGTGCAGGCAACAGGAAGTCAACTGCTAATCTCTCTGTGGGAAGCTTGAGCAGACTTCAAAGCTTACTCCTCCAATAAGGCCACACCTTCCGTTGGGGGTCATTATCTTTCAAACCACCACAAGCCTCATTCTCAGTTGTTGCTCTAACCCACCTACTTGATATGCCCAAAGTATTTGAAAAGTACCTAGATTTATGGCTTTCTTTGTCCTATTGCTACAAAGTTCATGAAAATTGCTACCTCACTGTTACATGTATTTGGAGAGATCTATGTTCCTGGGCTGCAGTGACTCAATTTTAGCTTTTATTTCTTTGTCATAAGAGCTGTTTCTTTTGTCTACCACAAAACTGGGTTCCATGAGTATGAGGTGAAGATGCTCCCATTCCTTAGTGGATTCTAAACAAAGTTAATATACTATGTAAATAATCCAATCATTTTGCACTTTTTAAACTACTGATCCACATGGAGCATGATATAAACTTGTAGCCCCAGCATTTGGGAAGTTGAGACAAGATTGCTATGAGTTCATTGGCAGCCCAGGTACATAATTCAAAACCAGCCAGCGTTACAAAGGCAAACTGTTTAAAAAACAGAACAACAAAAGGGCTTGGGTCAGACACTGTGGGGCATAATGAGAATGAATGCCTCTAAAGCCAGCACTTGGGAAGCCTAGGCAGAGGTAGGCAGATACTCGTGAAAGTGAGATCAACTGGTCTGCAGTGAAGCCCAAGAGGGTGTAACATCACCAGGAACCAGTTACAGCAGGTTGTGAGCTGCCATGTGGTTGCTGGGAACAAAACTTGGGGCTTCAGAACGAGTTTTGTGTGTTCTTAACCACTGAGCTATCTCTCAGGTCATATAAAATACATCTTTAGAAAATTAATTAATAGGGGCCAGGCTTGGTGGTACACACTTAAATCCTAGCACTAGTTTTCTCTAAGTTTGAGGCCAGCCTGGTCTACATAATGAGTTCCAAAACAGGCAGGATAACCAGAGCTACATAGTGAGACCCTGTCTCAAAATAACAGAGAATGGAGAGATTGGGATATAGCTTGGGGTAGGGTGTTTGCTTAGACTACTCAAGGGCATGTTCAGCACCAAAAAAGAGATACTCATAAAACTATCACATTTCCATGAGTTAAAAGTGCTACCTATTCTCAGTATGGCAGGAAGTCAGAAATAAGCAAATCCACAAAAGATACTTGAATAGCATATCTTTAATACTACTGTCTTAAAAGGTCTGCTACTCCACTACAGTGAGTGTACTCGGAAATATAAAATATGGGTCTCCCAAACCTAAATAGAGAATTATTTTATCAGTATTTGTCTACTTAGAACATATTTTCACTTCAAATGTATGTAAGCTTTCTCACAAAGTCAGAACACAATCCACATTGTGAATAGAAACTGCAATATTTAAACCTCAACACTTGAGGACATAAACACAGCACGTTACTTTTGAAAATAAGTCACTTGAAATAAATTAGATGTAATTTTTAACTTAAGTGAAAAGATGTTTATGCAATGTCTTGACCAAAATCAAACAGTTAAGGGGAAAATTACCATATTCTGATACAAATCAAACTCTACTAAAATCATGTTAGAGACCTGAATGCAGATTAACTACAGCTGTAGAATTAGATGCCTTTAGCTAGGGGATGATGAGAGCATATCAGGAACCAGGCCCCAATTTTAATGTTTATAAGTGTGCATACATGCCACAGCACAAATGTGGAGGTCTGAATGCAACTCTGTGGACCCCAGGGGTTAAACTCAGGGGGCCAGGTTTGCATGATAAGCACCTTCACCCAGGGAACCACCTCCCCAGCCCAATTTTCACTACATTGGTACCAATACCTCACTTTGAGGCCTTCATTCCCCAAGACACACTTCTTTTATAAACTATGGACAAGATGGACCCACTTCTAAAAATCTACTTTATGAAGTTATTGATTAAATATGGAATGACTTTTCTAAAGACAGCAAAATATTGTTTCCTCAAATATTGACTTGACAGTTTGACAAGTGACTGAGAAAAATAAACGAAGTTCTGACTATAAATACAAATGTGTATGTACATCTCTATATTCTGAGAGGCTGTCTTATTATCTCACTACGCTTTTGAATTAAATTATGTTCTCTCAATAAAGGGTATTAACTTTAACTTTTAAACTTAAATCATCTTTACTGCACCATTACCCTCCCTACTTTTCATTTTACATTATTTCTATAAATACTCAAATGAAAAACAATCCACCATCTTGAAACCAATATACATTATATTGGTGGTCTAAGGATTTTGTTTTAAATATTTTGTTAAAATGTAAAAACTCTGAAATTACAAACAAAAAATTACAATTTTACAGTATATAACTAATTTATTTTAAAAAAATATTCTGACTTTTTTTTATACAAGTAATCAAGTACTATTTTTTTTTTTTTTTTCCCAAATGAAATCCTGTGTGTAGGCTAAAAGAGAGCATGTAGTCTTGTCCCACTAATACATGTCATCTTTTCACGCTGGCACTTCAACAATTTCATAGTAGTCATGTGGGAGAATCACATAGCCCCTTTCTGATGCATCATCTTTCTCTCTCTGGAAGTGCACAACTTCCTTTAGCTTCTCCAGCTGTCTCTCTTGCCTTCGGCACCGCTGCTGGGCGGTCTTGAGTTTCTTCCTGAGCTTTTCGACCTGCTGCTCCAGCTGGTGAATCCTCTTCCTTTGGTGCATTGTGTCCTCCACTGTGTAATTGTGGTCACAGAACACCGAGAGGTTATCAGGGGTCTGGAGAGGAGGCATTAGCAGCCCAATAGCAGCCTCCACCTGGGAAGTGGGGGGTGAAGGAGGAGAGGGAAGCTGTTCTTGGGGTTCCAGATCTTCCTTCTAAAATAGCAACATATAAGGATATGTGAGTTTAGTAACTAATGGCCTCAAAATATCTGTAGAGTTTTAGCATTAGACTTTTTTGTCACTCCATGGCACAGAAAAATTCCAAAATAAGAAATTAGGTTATCATGGAGGTGGTACTGACATGGAGAACCCAGTTCTGTTTTATCACTAAAACTGTATCTTCCAGGCTAAAAATTTCAACATTAGGTTTTGGCTTGTATGTGGATTTTTTAAAACAGGGTCTTACTGTGTGGCCTAGGCTGGCCTCACACTTGAGCTCCTGCTGCCTTTATCTCCCAAGATCTAGGATAACAAGTAATATTTAACCCTGTTTTTTTTTGGGGGGGGGGAAGGTGGCTTACTGTATAACCCAGGTTGGTCTGGAAATTACTGTGTTTATATCACTCTAGTTTCACACTTGTAGGGGCCTCTTGGTTTGCTCTCCCCAGTGCTTAGACTACAGGTGTGCGCCACCACAAGCCACGCTCAGTCCTAGTTCAGCTTTCTATTTGCAGTTAAAGTGGAATTCGTGAAACTGAGAAAGTGACTTAGTTAGATGTAAGCAAATACTAAACACCTAAGAGGAGAAAAAAATAATCTGAAAATAAACTGTCATTAATAATGAAAAACAAAACTTATCAACATGTAAAGACACGGAACTATTTTTAACTTACAAAACTAGAATGAGTTTTTTAGTGTAAGATAGTAAGTACATAGAATTCTAAATTTTTAAAAAGTGTATTATTGTTACTTAGTGGTTATTTTTTTTTCTTTGCAATCACATGCATATGTGTGTGAGACAGTATGTGTATGTGTGTGTTTTGTTTGCGAGTGCATGTGTGAGTATCTGCTGTAGGGTGAGGGTGAGGGTGGAGGTGCATGAAGAGGCTAGAGACATGGAATCCAGGAATTATGAGCTGCCTGATGTAGGTGCTAGGAACAAAACTCAGATCCTCTGGAATAGTAAGACACACTCTTAACCACTGAGGCCCAACAGTGGTTGTTGTCAAATGATGGGTTTCAAATACATTTGTTTTCTTAACCCTTCCCTGATTTTTCCAAAATTTCCACCATGAACACATTAGTTTCATAGATTTTATGGTTAGTGTACAGCTCAAAATCAATGCTAAGATCCTAGAATTTGGAAGACAGAGGTAGGAAGATGGGGAGTTCCAATTCAGCCTTAGCTATATAAAGTGCAAAGCCAGCCTGGGCCAGGTAAGCCCCTACCTCACATGAGGGATTGAGGAGAGGAGAATGGAGAGGAGGAAAGAAAACAAGGGAAAGAAAAACAACAGCCCAATATTTAAAACCAGAATTACCTTGTCATGTGGCTCAATACAAAGGAATATTGTGGGTACAGCATTCTCCTTCAGTAACTTGTTGTTGCACTCTCTCTTAAAGCAGTCTGGGGTAAAATGCTCTGAACAAATACTGCTGTATTTAGTGGGCTTGAAGTTTTTTCTTCTAACAGCTGCCTCCCACTGTTTACAAAGACTGGGGCGAGTCAGAGGAAACCTAAGAAGACAAAATTTAGTTCTCTGACTTTACTTAAAACAAAACCACCCACACACTCCTGCTTACTATCTCACTGATTAATGTTGATCTCTCCATAACGTAACCTTCAAATAAAATAGATAGTATGCAATACAATTCTACTCATAGTTTTACCAGCACTTTTGTGTTTTGCAGAAAAACAAAAAATCCTACATGTGTGTATTCTGAGATGGAGACTGCTAGCTGTTCCTGAATTGACCCAATAAATATAGATAGAGTAAATCCTGACTACTTGAATTTTAGGCAAATGGTTAAGAAATAAAGAACATTTTATTTTATCACTTAACTCAGCCTAGGTAATGAGGGCCCTTTACATTTACTGTCACTATGCTTTTCCATGTCAAAGACTTGGTGGTACACTGGAACTGGAAAAAGATGAAGAAAGTTTCCATTTATGCTTCATAATTATCCACCCCATAAGGTATGCCAGACCCCATCATGCTTTTTTCATGAAGACCTAACCAATCTTCATGCTAGTGCTTATTGTTTGTAGTTTGCACAGAAAGCTTTTTTCACTGCCAGTATATACAAGCTGGGAAACAATGTATATTCTATAAAGGAGCACAAACCAGTGGGGACTTCTTAGAAATCTTAGTATCTAGTACCCAACCTAGGAGTACAAATTCTTCTAGGTCTGTCAAGATCTTTGCCACTTACTGTCCTTTTAGATAATGGACAAGATGTGTGTTAGTCCTTCTTTTATTTTATTTTTAAACATCCAGCAGTATTTTTGATGTGTGTCATCTTAGAAGCATAGGGAAGGGAGGTGGCAAGTTGAATGCATATCCCTGCCACCATATCCTGATTATTTATTCCTACAGTTTGAAGATATATGAAATTTCAGAAATTCCAATCAACCAGGAAGTAGTAGTAGGAAAAATTTAACCTCTTCCCTGAGAGAATAACATCAGCACACGAACCTCACTTTCTACCATTTTTTTCTCCTTGTTAATCACAAACAGTATTCACCCCGTAAATGAAAAAAAAAACAAAAAACAAAAACAAAACAAAACAAAAAAAATCCCTGAAAGAACATTTTGAAATTTGCTTCTGCAATTGTTTTGCTATGGATAACTTGTATAATTTACCAGTGAATCTGATCTCTTAGCTATCGTCTGCATACAGCCAGGAATTCTTTCAAAAACCTAATGTTAAAACATCATTTTGTTGACCACTATCAGCGTTAATAATTATCATTAATAACGTTGATTCTGCAGCTTTCTTCTACTTCCAAGAAAGTATTTTTCACCCCAGGATTCTTGTATGTGGCACCTACCACACGAGCCAGCCCTCACATCGATGGGAAAGGCTGGAATTGGTTTCTTTGCTACGGCAACTGAAAAAAGCGCGTTATCATCCACGTTATTATTACTGTGTTGAAAGGCTGGGCTTCATCTTGGCAGCACCAAGAGCTCCCTCTAGAACCCAGAGACTCTTAAAGGTCGGTTCCTTGCAACTGGGTCTACAAGTCCTTCCTGACATCGCGGCCACCAGGCAACGCTTAATCGCCTTCCTCCTACGAGTTCCTCTATCAGGTTTATACCTTGTGACGAAATCGCAAGGGCTGCGAGGGACCTACAGGCAACGCTCGCACGCCGGAAACCCTGCACAGCAGAGGAGGAGCGTTCCGAGCCTCAGCCGAGCCGAGGCGAGCCGAGCCCAGCCCACGGGGGCGACGCGCGCAGAGGACGCGCTGCAATGGGTCCCCGCCCCCGGCCGCCCCGCCTTCTCCAGGTCTCGCGCGGACACGCGCCGAGCTCCGCCTCCGCCCGGCCGCGCGCCCCTGGTCCCGGCCGGCCGGCCCACCCACCGCCGAGCACGCCGGTTACCTACTTGTGGAAAGAGACAGGCTTGTCCTTATCATATCGGTTCTTGCAGCCGTAGGCGGAACAGGACTGCACCATCCTTCCGGCCCTCCACACTTCCCTTCTGCCCGGGAGGCAGGTGAAGTGGGGGGGGGGGTCTCGGTGTCGCCGCGCTCGGCGTTGACACGCTCGCTGCTTTCGGTGGCTTTGGTCGGCAGTTACACAGTGGCGATCACCATCACCTCACCGCGGGGGTGACTACTCTGTCCCTTGTGTTGTTTGCTTTAGCAGAAAGACCACGGCTTTCGCCCGTCTCCCATCTTCAAGATGGCGGAGGCAGCTTCAACCTCACCTCTCGCGAGGACTTCGCTCGTTGTCTCTGATTAGCCGAAGGTAACGTTCCCAGGGAAGCCGACCATTGGCTGAGGCCGGGAGAGGCTCTGGGGCGTGGTCACTAGTGCGGAAGTGGGTGGGCCCTTCGCGCTTTGGCCGGAAGAAAGTGCGTTTGTTTGGGAGCCACGCTCAAGAAGCCGGGGCTATGGTGGTTGGTGTGGTTAAATGGTTCGTCGCTTTCTGCTGCAGCTTGGTGAAGACCGGCCTGTTGGATCCGGATGCCTAAAGGAACCGTGGGAAAGCTCTAGTTCCTGGTAACAAGTAATTAAAAGGAAAAAAAAACGGGCGGCCGCGGAGATGTAATTTGTACAAACCCAGAAAACGAGGACAAACATGCATTCCTTCTCAGTTGAGAAAGCAGAAGCACTTGTGAATGTTGTTACCGTCGTGTCGTGTACTGTGCTGAAAGTCGTGAGCTGCAGTGCTGTAGCGAGTTTTCATGCTGGAGAGAGGTTTTACATCCTTGCCCCTCTGTAGTGTTGAGTCTGGAGCGCCTTCTCCCTTGTAGACTATTCTCTGTCCCCTCAAATACTGCTTCCCCCAGGGACCCATTTAGTGCCTTCCATTTCTACATACATGGGCTTGCCTACCCAGTTATCAGGTATATGGATTAATGTATTAAGCAACTGCTTAAACCTGAAGCCCTGGTATCACCGAGATTTAAAAGAAACAATGAGACTTAACTCGGCGGTTAAGAGCACTTGTTAATCTTGCAGAGGACCCAGGTTCAATTCCCAGCACCCCCATGGCAGCTCACAAACATTTTTAACTCCAGGGGATTGGGTACCAGGCACACACGTCATGAACATACATATATGCAGGCAAAATAGACACCTGTGTAGGTCAGTGGACAACTTGTGGGAGTGAGTTCTGTCCTTCCATTCTGGTTTAGGGGATCAAACTCAGATCATCAGCCTTAATGCTAAGTGTTTAACTAGCTGAGCAATCTTGCTTGCTCCTAGGAAGTTTTCCCCTTACTCAAGACAAAGGTTAATCTTATGGAATAAAAAGAATACCTTTAAGTTTTTCTATTATCACCATTCTTGTTCAAGTCCTCACAGTTATCTACGAAACAGCATTGTGTCAGTCCCAGTTTCCAACTTTCTCTCTGTCCCCCATAGGAGCATGGCTAGTTCCTTGCTTAAAAGACTTCAGGGGGTACCCCTATACTAAATAAGATCCAAATTACTTATGATGATCTAGACAGCCTAGGAAACAGGTATGCCTGTGTTTTACTGTCTTCCCCTGCTTGTCAAACTGTTCAGCAACTGCTTACATAGGCTGTTTTCCTTGGCCTGGATGCCTATCCTCTGACCGTCCTGTCTATCCTTAAGATGTATCTTATGTGTTATCTTCTGCCCAACTTTGCTTAAAGGCACATACCTTTCTTGTCCCTGTGAAATTCTGTACTTACCTCTGTAAGAATTATATGCCATAGTGTCTGTGTGCCTCATTTGAACTGAGGTGCTGTTGAAGGTAGCATCTTACTGAACCCAGTAACCCCAGCAGGTTTGTATGTCACAAATTATTTAGGAAATGTTGGATTGAATGGACCTAGAAACTACACTTAGTTTCAGAGCAGAGAAGGACAACAGTTCAAAAAAACAAACCAATTAAGAGGCTGGTGAGCAAAGAGATGGTAACTTGGGTGAAGGTGGTGGCAGAGAAGCTAAGAGTGGTGGGATTCAAGATCCAAGTTTGTAGTGCAAGCATTACAGCATAGAGTGGTTATGAGAATTGGGTGGGATTTGAACATGGTTTTTAAATTAAGCAATGTATAATGCAATGTAAAAGTGAAATAACTACTCACAACAAAGTAGAGACTAATAGAGACTTGGAAAGAATGGGAACAACCTAAGGTGGGGGCAGGTTGTAGGACTGGGGATGTCAGATGAAAAAGTTAAAAGTGGTTTAGTATGAAGTAAAGGTCTATTAAGGAAAAAAGTGTGGTCCAAAGAATAGCATCTCTAGCCTTGGTGAAGACCTAATGGTCCAGTTGGGCCAGATCAATCACCTGGCCAAGGGCCTACCTCTAGAAAGGCATGGCCACCTTAAGATAGGTGGAACCAAGCTTTTGTACCTTCCCAGAAACCCTGCCCCCAGTGCTGTAGAGTTCTTGCCCACTTTGCTTCTCTTTCCCTTCCCTAATCATGCTTTCCTTAATAGTTGGGATTTCCCCAACATTTGGAGCTTCCTTATTTTGTCTAAAGCCTCCCTCCCCAGCATGTGGCTTGTTTGTTCACTGTGTGTCTGACTTCCATTTATGTCAGTTTAAATGGCCAGCTTTCCCTCTTCTCTATTCTTTAGGCAGCTGCTGAGCTTGACAGCTTGCCTGCCCTGGGTTTTACTTTTAACTTCTAATAAAATTTTCCTTGAGCTTCATTTGAGTACATTCTTTAATTCTTTTGTTAATAAGACTAAGAACCCCAAGAGGGACTCCCAACTTTCCTTTACCACAGGTCTATGCTTCAGACTTCAAGCCACTAAGTAAGTGTACAAGAATCACTCTAGGGTGTCTGTTTTGTGGTCATTGATTTGGTGTAAAACCAGTCAGATTGTTATATAGCTGAATTTTCCTCTGTCCTGTTGTTCATAACTTGAAAATGAAATACATACTTTTATTTGTTGGACATAATCCTTAATTGCCCCTATTTTCAAAATGGTAAGTTTATAGATATAATATATATGCATATAATTTAAAAAATAAACCTGTTGAACTAAATACATTATAGTTTTCTTTATAAAATATCTCCCACCCTAAATGCTTACAATTATCTGCAGGTTTATTGGCTTAATAGAAAAAACTTTCACTTTTACCTTTTTAAAAATAATTTATTTTTATTTTATGTGTATTGGTGTTTTACCTGCATATGTGTCTGTGTGAGGATGTATCATTTGTTGGAACTGGAGTTACAGACATTTGTGAGCTGTCATGTGGGTGCTGAGAAGAGAAGCCATTGCTTTTAAAAGCTGAGCCATTTCTCCAGCCCCTTTTTTCACCTTTTAAAAATACTCCTTGACTCATTTTGCCTGTTTTCATTTGCCATTTCTTATCCTTTCCTGAGGTTGGAATAATAGTTGTTACTTAGTTAGTTGTTACTTAGTTATCAAAGGATAAGGCAGGGAAGCATTTTCACTTTTTTCCTTCCAGAGTCTCACATACACCACACCTGCCCCAAATTTGATATGTAGCCAAAGATAACCATGAACTCCTAATCTTTCCTTTACTTGAGTCACACCTATAATCTCAATCAGTTTGAGGTTCAACCCAAGGCTTCATGTGTTCTAGGGAAGCACTCTTACCAATTGAACTACATCTCCATCTCTGTTTTGTACTTTTTTAAGATGAAATCCCAGGGGGCTGGAGAGATGACTCAGAGGTTAAGAGCACTGGCTGCTTCAGAGGATCTGAGTTCAATTCCCAGCAACCCCATGGGAGCTTACAACCATCTATAATGAGATCTAGTGCCCTCTTCTGGTGTGTAAGTGTATATGCAGACAGTACATATACATAATAAATAAATCCTTAAAAAAAAAGATGACATTCTAACTGGATGACCTGGAACTTGTCATATAGATAAGGCTAGCCTTGAATTCAGAAGCGATCCCAGTTACAGGCCTGCACCATCACATCAAAGTTCAGCATTTTGAAAAGGTTGGTGAAAAATAAAACATATCCATTAACAGTTCAATTAATAAATAGCCCACAATCAGTAGCAATCAAAATAATGAAGCTATCGGCTGGCCATGTAGCTCAGTTAGTAGTGCTAACCTTATGTTTGAAAAATGGTTAGATGAAACTAGTCAGAGGAAAGATGCAATTAACAGGGTGGTGACCAGTTTGTTTATAACTCATTGATGGTGCTGTGTGGCTAGATATTAACAGGCTTGATTAAAAACTGGAGCTGGACCCTTCCCTTAATAGCAAAAAGACTGGATCTGCAAGATCAATTACTGGCCAGAAGAATAGGACATGAGTTCTATCTCTAGCCCTGAGAGGTGGTGTGGCATGCTGGTCTGCCAAAGTTATTAATACATAATAAAGTCAACCTGGCTCCAGGAGCCTTAACTCTTAAATGATTGTATAGTACTTGGCTTTCTGATGAAGAATGAAGATGTAATCTTGCTGTCATGTAAGAGCCAAACCAGCAGGCCTGTCAACCACCTACACAAGACAAAGACCTCTGAAAACTGTTTTTGTTTTAGAAGTGGAATAAATATCTGAAATATAGACCAGTCCAGTGGTCCCTTTGGCCACTGTGCACTTTTAACCTCTTAAAACTGCTCTACTCTGTAAAAAAAAAAAAAAAAAAAAAAAAAAAAGTACTCTGCAATAAACCACCAATCTTTTAATCTACTCTGTGTGCCTCATCTCAGTTTTTCTTTTTTGGGTGGAGAGACAAAGATGAAAGGGATAGGGAGCTGAAGTGAGCCCAGACCAAGCCCCCAGGGATAACAGTTTATACAATTGTTGGTGTTTATTGTATTTAGTAAAAGACTTTAGTTTTTGAAGACAGGGTTTCTCTAGCTTTGGAGCCTGTTCTGAACTCATTCTGTAGACTAGGCTGGCCTTTTAACTCAAAGAGATCTGCCTGCCTCTGCCCCCTGGGTGCTGGGATTAAAGGCAAGTGCCACCACCCAGTGCATAGCCTTCATTTATAAACTTTACTCCCAGGCATTGGTGGCACATGTAGGAACCCAAGGAGGCCAGAAGAAGGCATCAGATCCCTGGAGTGGGTGACAGACCATTGGGAACTGTAGATGGTAGGATCCTGCACTCTTGATGATTGAGCCATCTCTCCAGTCAATATTTTTGATAGAGCATTCAAGCTTTCTAAACCATACTACAATGTGTAGGTAAAAGCTGTGGTACTAAATTTAAGGGGGGGGGGGAAGCTTTAACAAATAGGCTTTGAATCCCCAGATAATTAGTGCTTATTTTATTCACATACACACCACACACACACATAAAATGTTATATTTTTACGGGTCCAGTATGACTAACCATAGCCACTTTGGTTTTAACTGCCATTTTGCCTACCAAGTGACCTTGATTTGCATTCCAAACCACATAAACAAAAGTTACTTGTCAGATGTCAGCCTAGGCTCCAAGGTAGAGTACTTGCCTAACTGCACAGGCCTTGACCTTGATCTCCATCACTGTACCACTAAAAATAAAAGGAAAAAGTTAAGTCAGGCATTTTATACTAGCTACTGATGAGATATTCAGACTTACTGTGTAGTGTCAGTATTTTATAAGAAGGCCACATTTGTGTAGCTTAGCATAAGCTCTATTTCTGGGGTATAGCTACAAACTATTCCTGAATATTAGCTATTTTTCCCTTTAAATTGTTTTTTGCTAAACTACTTGGGTTGGGGATGTAATCCAATGCTTGCCTAATATAAACAAGGCCCTAGGTTTGATTGTAAGCATAATAAATGAGCTAATTAATATCTAAATTATTAGATGTCAGTGACCTGACATCTGATAGAGCCAGCAAGAAGGTTCAGCAAGTTAAAGGCACCTGCCACTTAGCCTAAATAATTCAGATTAATGATTAAGTAACCATTAGTTATCCACAGAATACTAATAATAAAAGAATGAACACAACCTAGATAAGTCCTCAAATCATGATGCAATTAAAAGAAAAAAAAAAAAAAGCAAGCCCCAAATACTCAAAAGGTTGCAAATCATGTAGTTTTGTAACAACTGCCTACAACCCTCAGGCTATACCTCTGGCTGTCTCAGAACACACTATGTAGACCAGGCTGTCTTTGAACTCAGAAATCCCTCCTGCCTCTGTCTCCTGAATGCTGGGAGTAAAGGTGTGCACCTCTATGCCCACTTACTATTCTTGAAAATGGCAAAACTATAGAAAGGAGAGCATATTAGTAGTCTCTTGCAGTTAAGGTTATGGGGCTAGGTGGTGGTGGCTCATGCCTTTAATCCCAGCACTTGGGAGGCTTATCATTTAAGGACAGCCTAATCTACAAGAGTGAGTTCCAGGACAGCCAGGGCTACTCAGGGAAACCCCATCTCAAAAAATATCAAGAAAACAAAAGAAGGTTATGGGGTGGGGGGAGTGTGAATGAAAAGCAGTGTGAAGAATCCTTGTGGTGATAAAGTCTTGACTATAACAATATCTTATTTCTAATAGTTGATAATATCAATTTCTGTACTGTAGTTTTATAAGATGCTACCACTGGTTGAAAGTGGGTAAATTAAACACAGGATCTTGCATTATGTTTGATGATGTGTAGGCATCAAGAATTGTCTTTAAAGGCCTCATTTTGAAGATTGAATTTGTTCTCAAGGTTGAGTTAGCCAGGAGAGAGGAGTGAGACTTTCTCAATAGAAAGACAAACTGAAATCGGGTTGGTAAAACTTGAATGCAAGGTATGTGTTAGCCTGAGGACTGAGTGGTCAGCCAAGGCCAATTCTTAAGAGATACTGTTTAAAAACTGGACACAGTAGTTCACCCTGCAATCCCATAAAGGTCACCATGAGTTTGAGACCAGCCTGGTTTACTTAAGCTAACAGGGCTCCATAGTGAGACTATATCTGGACAAATAGACAAAGATACATTGGGGTAACTTCAACCTTTTGTATCCAGAATTAACAGATTGCCAAAACAAATTTTCTTAAACAAAAAAAAAAAAAAAAAAAAAAAAAAAGTTTTAAAATCTAAGAATACCTAAACAGACCAGGTGTTGTACACATCTTTGATTCCAGCACTCAGGAGGCAGGGGCAGGTGTAAAATCAAAGCCAGTCAGGGTTAAGACTCCACCTTAAAAAGGCAAAAAAAAAAAAAAAAAAAAAAAAAATCCAAACAGAGCTGGCTCAATGGCATATATATGGGGCTGAAGAGATGTCTCAGATATTAGAACACTGGCTGTTCTTTCAGAAGTCCTGAGTTCAATTCCCAGCAACCACATGGTGGCTCACAAGCACCTACAATGAAATCTGGTGCCCTCTCCTGCTGTGCAGGCAGAATACTGTATACATAGTAAATAATAAAGACAAATAACACAAAAAAATTAAATGAGCATTTGTTGCCAAGCCTGATGACTTGAATTCAATCCCTAGAACTCACATGGTAGAAAGAGAACCAACTCCTGAAAGTTGTAAAAGGTATACCTAAACGAGGTCTAGAGATACAGCTTAGGTGTCAGTGTGCCTAATATGTAGGAAGCCCTGAGTTAAATCCTCAGCAAACTGTAAACTAGACATGGTATATACTTGTAATCTCAGCACTCAAAGACAGTAAAGACAGGAAGAAAGGGTATTTAAGGTTATCCTTATTCACATAGTTTAGGACCAGCCTGTGACATGAGACTGTCTCAAAACAAAAACCCTGTAAGATGGCTCAGGAGGTAAGAGTGCTTGCTTCCAAGCTTGACAACTTGAATTTGACACCTGGGACTCCCCCGGTGAAGGGGAGAATTAACTCTCCCAAACTGTCCTATGACCTCCATGCACAAGCCCCCCAAAATACACAAATGTTTAAAGGAATCCAAAAAATTAATTTGAAATGTGATATGGTATTGGATGGCCACTTACGTGATAAAGAAAACCACTGAAAAGTGGTTACTAGAGGCTGGAGGTTAACAAGGAAAAATCATGCTTTAACAAATATCTGGAAAAAGATTTGGAGTGTTTTATCAAAGAGATGTTTCAAACTAGGTGTGGTGGTATATGCTTTTAATACTAGCACTTGGGAGACGAGGCAGAGGCAGGTGAGCTCAAAGCCATCCTAGTTTTGAGACAGAGACCTTGTCTCAAAAACACAAAGCAAAAAGATGTTTCAGATAATGAGTAACCCTTTTTACCCTCCCTCCCCCCTGCTCAAGGAAAAAAATATGCTTGACAAAAAAAAAAAAAAAAAAATGATGATGTATTTGATGCCTATATGTTGGAGGGAAAGACAGATACTACTGTTGTCCAGCAAGCATTACAAGATCCTAACTAATAACACACTCCCTTTCTTTCTCTAGGTGGCCCCTTGTATTTTTTAATTTATTTGTTAAATTTATTATCTTTGTGTATATAGGTGTTTTCCCTGCATGTATGTCTGTGTACCCACCCACACAGGCCAGAAGAGGGCATCAGATACCCTGGGGCTGGAGTTACCATGTGGATGCTGGGAATTGAACCTGGAACCTCTAGAAGAGTAGCCATTGTACTTAACCACTGATCCAACTCTTCAGCCCCAGATCTCTCCTATGCTCACAGTAGGCCTATACTTTCTGGATTCAGCTGATGGACAATGTTCATATCCTAAGCTGATCATGAACAAATGTGTCAAAACATCACATTCCATCCTATAAAAACAAGAAAGAAAAAATTCCCTACTGTAGTTCATTATAAATACTGAGTTGAGCTGAAGCATAAATCAAAAAATGTGTAGCCAAAATTAACACCAAGTAAATAAATTACAGTAAAGTGGATATTATTTTAGACATAGATCTATAAAGGAATTAAATGTACAAAACCAAATGTGTACAATGTATGGAATATAGTAAAGAGTAAAATGTTAATATGCAAAATGTTTTAAAAGCTACTGTGACTGTTATGTCACTGGCCTTTCAAGAGTTGTACATTTTAAACGAAGAAAGAGAAACATAACACCTTAAAATTTTTTAGATATATTATTTTTATTCCAAAGAATAAATGCTAAACAAACTCTCCAAATCACAAAATCTGGAAGAAGCCCCCTGATCTTCTGCATGGACTGAGGTAGGCATCTGCACAGCCACAGGGCTCAGGAGCAATCCACTGTCCTCTAGAACACTGAGGACGGGAGGTGCTGAACCCCTACTCTAGTGAACTGTTAAAGTAAGTTTCCCTTCTCATTCCCCAGAGAGCTGCTCAAATTGTTGTCAATTTGTTGTCTGTTCCTGGGTTTGTACCTTCTCTTTTGTGACAGAACTATGTTTTGTTAAAAAAAAATCAAATTGTTGCTTTATATGACCTCTGGGTACAGAAATATTATACTGTGGTTTTTAAAACACTGATTGACTGTACTTGCTTGAATACTTTCTCAAATTGATTTTGCATTTATCATTGATGATAGTAAAGATGAGGGAATAGGAGGTGTAAGACTGAGACATCAGTATGTTCCCTTTTGGTTTAGTAAAACCAGTCTCACAGTGGTTTTGTACATTACAAACTTGTACAATATACCTCTTCACGGTTATTAGTAATAATGCCAAATATTACAGAACTGACATGTGGAGCAAAACATCAGAATATAAAATCATTTCAGAAAATCACACTGTCTGTAGCCCACAGTGAATTTTTAAAAGGTAGAAATTTTTTTTCCAGTCTGCTAACAAGCTCCTTCTACTCAGTAGCTTTCCAGGTTAGTGACAAGTGGCCCTGTTTTTCTACGGTGCATGCCACTCTTACTTGACTTGGAAATATATACTCAAGATTGATGAAGGCTTTGATGAATCTTCCTTCTAGAGCTTTTTGCTCAGAAGCACCAAAACTGTTCCAGTGAAGGAGTAATGTATTATGAAAACCTGACTTCCAAAGAATTCCAGTTTCCCGCCTGCTTCTCCTAAGACTACCTAAATTACACTAGTTCCATTATGTTAGCAAATAAAAATTTCCATCCACAGGATGAAGGTTTCATCTCTTAAACAGGAAGCTGATGGAAACCTACCTTCCTTACAAAATTTCCTAAGGGTAAGAGGAAAAATCATAAGAAATTGCATTGATCATGTTATACAAGTGCTGGGTTTGGTATTTTGTTTTTAATGGGAGACAACAGCTGTTAGGTCTAAATTAGGAAACAAACTGACATCTCGTTCAGAATCTCATTATTTAGAAGCTAATCTGATTAATTTGGGAATGTGACAGATTTTAGCTTTATGCCCTCTCCCTAAATAGACATGTTGATGCTAAGACATCAATGGTAACTTCAGACAACAAAGGATCTTTGGGCATCACCTCGCACATCCTTCTTTTCCAGTAAGCAGCTGGAATAAAGCCCTCATACTTATGGTACTCAGACAATGAACCACAGTCCTTACTAACATTCTTGTGTCAGGACTATCAAAAATCAAGTGAACCTCAATACATAGTCATCTCATTTCTAAAACATGATGGATCTGAGCCGAATACTGCCACCTACAAGATAGTACTTACATTTTCAGGGCAACAGACAACTAGTCAGATGTCTTCATTTTGCTGCAAGTGTTAACTTTTGTAAACTCTGACTTTATAAAATCTAAACACTGTTCTTAGTACCTTCCCAAAGGTCCCGACTAACACCAAGAGAAGTGAAGATCCTGTTTCCTCAAAAAATGTATCAAACTACTATGTGTTTTCAATATTACTTAGGTTTTTAAGACAAAAAAATTTCCCTTTACAAGCTGTTTTTATGTTTTCTTTTTAATTGCATTTTATTTGTGTGTGTACACACACACATGGGCCACCATGCACATGTGAAAGTCAGAGGACAACTTGCAGAATCTGTTCTCTCCTTCACTATGTGAGACCCAGGGTTCAAACCTGGATTATCAGGGTTGGCAGCAAGCACCTTTATCCACTGCCCTGCTTTTGGTTTGAGCAGGACCTCATTTTGAAGCTCAAGCTGACCTGGAACTCATTACATAGCCTAGGCAGACCTTGAACTTGTGGCAGTCTCCTACCTAAGCTTCCTGAATGCAGAAATTACAAATATAAAGCCACCACAACTGGCTACAAGTCACTTTAATATTTGTTTCTATAAAAAAAGGCCAAACTCTTGGTTAAATGTCACAAATGAATGTCAAAAGTGCCTCCAGGAGATGCATGTTTTTCACTTGGTTAATTCTCCTATTGATTAAAGTGTTCCATAGACTGAAAATGTAGTCAAATCATGAAGTTCACATTTCTTTCCTCTTCAATTGATCACAGAATTGGACAAAAATGAAAAAGCAGAGCTGTTCCAAGTCCACAAAGACACTGGCTTTTCCCTAGCATCATACAGTATTTGACTTTAACAAAAATATTTAGATAAGTTTCAAAGTTCTAGGATAATGATTTGTACATGTAGCAATACTGAACTATGTATCTAAATAAGCTAATTTTGAGAAAAAGAAAACAACAAAGTATCCCTTTTCAATTGGTTTCATACTTTTTTACAGACAACACAGAATTGAGATAAAACTATAGATCACTATAAATCTGATCTTAACATTAGAACCTGCAGTATGCAAAAATTCCAGTTGTATATTGTTAGGCATTTGTCAAATGATAACCAAATGTTTTAAGCTTGTAAAGTAATATTTAGGTGATTGATACTTCCATGGATCCTTTTGTTTGTTTTTTTAATATAAGCTTAGATATTCTAGTAAACTAATTTTTTCATCTAGTCAGTCTTTGGGTTATTACTTCTCGATACATAATAGAGATGTAGATAAGCAACAAAAAGATAACAAAGAAGTCATCTAGAAAGCCCAGAATTCCAAACAAGGCTTCAGGTACAAAGTCTAGAGGTGATATTAGATAGAAAAAAGCTCCCATTAAACAAAGCATTATCCTAATTCGGAACATCCAGAAGAGACCCCCAACTGAAAACACTTCCCTGAAAGCATGTCTCAGCAAGGTGGGGAGATCCATGATTCTTTCCATAATCTGAAGGAGGAAAAACAAGTACTACGATTTAACATCTAATATATCAAATTAAAAAGTAATATAATTTTTGTACAATGTACAAATTCAGCTAAGATGAATTAAGGTGTTTCACACACTTAATACCAGACTTTCCAATTATGCATTTTATTTAAAAACTGGTTTAGTTAGTAGGTTCTTAAAAAGTAGGCTTTATTATAGACAACTGGAAAGTAATAAAGTACCAAACGCTTAAAATGTGGGATATAGATTGAGTACACCTTATCTGAAAGTCAAAAGCTTCAAATGCTACATAATTTTTTTTAAGTATTCTGAAATATAAAAAGCTGTCAAGTCTAAATCTGTGAAGTAAAAATGTTTTGGATTCCAGAATATGTCAAATTTATGATTTTATGATTTTCAGTTTGGGAGGCTCTATTTGTAAAATCCATGTGAATATTCTGAAATCTGAAAAAAAAACTCTGGTCTGGAGCATTTCAGATAAGTGTTTCTTAACCTAAAGTCATGCAAAACTCAAGTTGTCAATAAACTTATTTAACAAAATAAGCCAAGAAACCATAGGCCAGGAACAGTAGCTCACACCCATATTTCCCTGTCAGGAGGTTGGAAGTCAGGAGGATCAATGATAGCTCAAGGCCAGCATAGGCTACAGAATGAGCCCCTTCTCAAAAACAAAATTATTACATAGGCTTATAATCTGAGATTTGTTCCCCAAGTGTCAGATTACTATCAAGATATATCTGGGTTGGATTCAAAAGCAATAAATTATCAAGTGAGGCGACCTTGGGTTACAACTTTCTAATTTGATAGAGATAATTTAACAATAATTGAGTATTTAATTACCTAGAATAATTACTAAGAACTAAAGAGATATTGTACAGAAAAGGCCTTTGTAATAATAAATAAATAATAAGAGGCCAGACTACGTACGGTTTTTGTTAACACCGGAGATTGAACCTAGGGCCTTGGTAGGCAAGTGTTCTACCCTTAGCTATATCCCAAGATTTCCTTTTACTTTTTAATTCAGAGAGCCATCTCATCAAGTTGCTAAGGCTTGTCTTCAATTTGTGATCCTCCTGCCTCAGCCTCCCAAATACCTGGGATACATGTTTGCTCCACCAGGCCTGAGTAAGTATTATACATTAAAAACACACTACGTGTCTGCACACACACATGCAGAGCAGAGGGCTACCACATTCTATACATGTCCCTAAAGGATATATATAAAAATAAACATCATTGGAAATATGGCTCAGAAGTTAAGAGCACTTGCTTATTGTAGAGGACCAGGGTTTGGTTTCCAACATACTCACTGGGTGGCTCACAATCACCATTCCAGTTCCAGAAGTACTAATGCCCTCTTTCGGCTTCCTTAGACACCTACATGCATGTGGTGCACATACACACATGCAAGCACATATACCTATTCATAAATAAAGCAGTTTTTAAATGCTAGGTCAAAAACAGGAAAGAACTAAGCATGGTGGCACATGCCTTTAATCCCAGTACTTGGAAGGCGGAGGCAAGTAGATCAGTGTTATTTAAGGCCAGACTAGTTAGTTATATATCAAGTTTCAGACAAACCAAGGCTACATAGTGAGACTGTCAAAAAAAAACAAACAAACAAACAAAAAACAAAACTGTGGCCCCTGGGAAAGCTACAACTCAGTGACTGGCAATGAGGGTTAAAACTTGGTCCAAAACACATAGTAAGACTTAGATAGTCCAAGAGCTAGTTGTAAATCTGATTTTACAAAAAGAAGTATAAAGGCTGTCTCTGACTTTTCACCTGCTATAACATTACTTACAGATCTAGGCTGCCCTGAGAATCTCCGGTTATAATCATTAACATCTTGACGCAATCTTACAACATCCTGAGACTGATCATCTTCACCAAATACTGTTAGGAGTAGAGTTACCTGTGTATTACAGGAAAAAGCTGTTACACCTTCTGCACCATTAGTATTATTTTTTCATTTTGTGTTGTTCAAGAGAATGAGAAAAGCTTCTGAATGTGTATTTCATTCATTCCTTTGAATAAAGGCAACATGGGGGAACAAGTAAATAACTACTGTCTTACAGTAAAATGTCATAATACAAAATACAATTTTTAATACCTCCAAGATAAAATGGGTTCCACATCTAAGCACTTTAATATTTTCCTGACCATAATTAGGGGCTAAAACCCATAGTTCTCTGGAAAAAAGCATATACATGGAAATAAAAGGATGATAGGAAAACCTTTAATAACAAAGTTAAAAATATTTTTAAAACATTAATAATATAAACCTATCACTTTAAGAGAAAAGACTGAGCATTTCTGAACAATTTATTTTTACTCACATTCAACATATCTTTGAGTGCTATCATAATACAGAAATTATAATATTGTATGGCCTCACTCTGAAACACCAATTCCTTTTGTAATAAGCAGATATAAGTCTTGGTACTGTTACTAACAAAGATTAGTTTTTCTGCTTTCATGGCCATGGTAAAGATGGCACACAGTTGCCTCAGGACAATACAGGATAATACCTTGAAAAAGAAGTATAGCTAAGAACAGAACATGTAAAGAATAATCAATCATTGATAAATATAATGAGATAAAATGGAAGGACCTCAAAACAGGTTTAGTGGGCTGGAGAGATGGCTCATCAAGTAAGAGCTAGCTGCTCTCCCAGAGGTTCTGAATTCAATTCCCAGCCATCTATAATGGAATCCAATACCCTCTTCTGACTTACAAATGTGATGCAGAGCACTCATATACATATTACATAAATAAGTCTTTAAAAAAGGAACAAGTATAGTTTTAAACCATTCTAGATGTTTTTACCCTCCCTCTGGTTAAGAAAACTACTGATCAGGTGTTCTCCAAACAGTTAAATGAAGGAGTGGCTGAATAGTATGATCAGCAGACACAGCCATTCATCCCTGTACAGATTTGTTAATAAAGATGTAGTCTCTGAAATAAAGCAATAATTTAAAGTCTCTAGCAAGATTAGCCCTTAAATGTCAAGGACAGTCAAATCAAATCTTTAGATTTAATCCTCATGGCGTTTTCCTTCTTACAAGTGTTTTCTTTTCTAAAAGCTTGAATTGTTTTTTGTTTTTTAATGTAGTCTTGTCAGGAATGGTGGCAAATGCCTCTAAATCCCAGCACTAGGGAAGCAGAGGAAGGCAGATCTCTGTGAGTTCAAGTTCATCCTGGTTTACCTAGGACAGCCAGGGCTGCATAATAAGAGCCTGTCTCAAAACAAACAAGTGAATGAATGAATGTAGTCCTTCAGCAAATATTAACTGAGCATCTACAGTGAGGTAGGCACTGTGTTAGTGCTATGCACACATGGAAAAAAGATGAGACAGCCTCACCATGAATGACCTCAATATCTCCAAGAGAAACAGGGAGGGTGACCTGTGGTATTTTCAGGTGGCATTACAACAAAGGTAAACTTTTCCCTGGGATGTCTAGTAACCCTGAAGAATGAGGAAGAGTCTTGAAATACTGGTAGGAGTACTTTATAAGTCAATGTTCACAGAGGAGTGACAAGTGTGCTGCTCTAGTCAGAGACAGCAGCTTGTACCATATTTCCATGGCCCTTTGCCCAGTGAACCAGGTGTAGAGCAGCACTTTCTACTGTCCTGCCTCCAGCTGAATGACCACAGTTATGGAAAAAGTAGCTCAATTTAAAATTTAAAACTGGTAATACAGGGAAGGAGAGATGGTTCAGTGGTTAAGAAAGTTCAGCTCTTGCAAATGACTGGGTTCAGTTCTCAGCACCAATATTACACAGTCACTCATAAGTTTAATTTGCGAGGATCCAATGCCTTCTTCTGAACTCTGTGGGCTCTTGCACACACAGGCTGCACATACATACACACAGGCACACACACATAAAGTAAAACATTTTATAACAGGAAAACCTGCTAATATTTATGAAATGAAATAACATAAGTGAGGCTATATATAGGACACTACCGTTTGTCTACAGATTGGACAACTGATTGCACCAAGCCAGGACCCATATCGCCAGTATGCAATTATGCAGGAACCTAGTGGAATAAGAAAATATCAACAATGAAGCTTTACACTCCATATATACTGGTTTCAACTATTTAATACCATTACCTTCTTTAAAACATTGTTTTATTATATTGTTTATCAAATATATGAACCTGTACACATACAAATATATATACAGGTGCATATATACATATGTATATAGACACAAAAAGAAAACAAATTAATTTGTTGGTTATATTATTTTCATCTGATGCCATGTCTTAGCTTTATCTCTGACCTTTTCAACCAAAAATTCAGCCTACTTTGACAGACATTACATTCATTTAATCTCAAGTATCTTTTCCTCAAACTATGTGGGTGTCCTTATTTTGCCAATATATAACACCACTTGGCTTTACTGAAAAACTATGACTCAGCATATTAAATGTTTCAGTTTATCTGCTACTAGATGCTTGATTTTTTTTTTTTTTATTCAATTTTCTCCCTCCACAGGGGGAAAAAAAGCTTAGGTATCATCTGGTGCAAGAGATGAGTGAACTTTCATCTAGGTCACAATCTCTATGAATCTATTTAATTGCAAAATGAGAACAAAATTCCACAGGCCTGACAGAGTTAAATAATGTAGATTACAGATGCAAATAAGATGATTCTGCTGCTGCTGCTGTTATTCTAGTTTACTATAATGGAGCAAAGGTGTTATGCTTCATAAAAAAAACTTACTGAACTAAGAGCTCTTGACACGTGAGGAATTAATATACTTGAACTATTTTCCAAATAGTTTTTTTTTTTGAGAAACTGCATAACAAAGTTTTACTTTTGAATTTACTAAATAATTATGTAACATGGCTCAGTTTTTGGAGGCATGCACAAGGTGTAGGTTATCAATCCCCCTCAGCAAATACATCACGCATGGTAGTGCATGCCTGAATCTCAGCACCTGGGAGGTAATGTGGTTCACAAGTTCAAGGTCATCCTGGGCTACATAGCACATTTGAGACCAATCTAAGATACACGAGACCCACCTCAAAAGAAAAAACGTACCTAACAAGTAGAACAGGATATCAGAGGCAATCTACCCTATTACCTCAGACTCAGAGGTAAAAGCAAGAACACAATACAGCCATCTTTCAATTGACAGGATTATCCACTCAGTGAATCAGCTATGCCTGAGTTGGCAAATAAGTTCATTTTGCCTGCCAAGCCTCACAGATCACTAACACCTGCAGGGAGGATGAGCCAGGCCCTGTCTAAATTCAGAAGGCAGGTCAGATGGATCAGGAACACCTACTGCAAGCCTAAGCAGCAAGATATCTGTCTCTCCTGATGGCCATTAGCTTCCCTCCTCCATTTGATCCTTATTATCCTACTTTCTTCAGCATTTCCAAAAGACAATTAAAGATTGAAATGTGGCTGGGCAGATGCCTCAGCGAACAAAGCCCTTGCTATCCAAGCTGAGGACCTGAGTTCAGATCCCTAGAACCCATATATGGACTGGATGCAGTGGTACATGTCTATAATGTTGGCACTCTAGAGATAGGATGTGAAGACAAGAAAAGATACAGAAGCTTGTAAGCCAGGTAGACTGGCATATGTAGAAGTGAACAAGAAACCCTGTCTTAAGGTAGACGATGAGGACTCAGCTGGATTTATCCTTTAATATCTCTACACACACCATGGCACCTGAACTGATGCACACAAACATAGAAAGTCTTAAACCAAAACAAAGAAAAGCCGAAGACCATTAGTAGAGCTCAGAAAAGGGCTGGGCAAAGTTCCTGTGAGAACTGTCCTCCCTTGGCAATGGCAAATAATAAATTCCACAGATAATTCAGTGTTCTATCATATGTTAGGGACTTGGGCAAAAAACCTTAGTGAAGTTGGGCATGATGGTGCACACCTGTATCCCAACATTTTGGAGAGGTAGGAGAATTGCCAGTTAACTCAGTGTCTGTCTAGTGTACAAAGCAATATACTGTCTCAAAACAAACAAACAAACAAAACTTAAACCACAGCTGGGTCTTGTGGTACACGCTTTTAGTCTCAGCATTTGGAAGGCAGAGGGAGGTGAATCTCTGGGTTTGAAGCAAGTCAGATCACATAGCAAGTACTAGGACAGCCAGGGCTACAAGGTGAGACCCGGTATTTAAGAACAAAAACTTGGGGAGTTTGAAATTAATGGCTGAAGGAACACATAACTAGATTAAGTATAATAATCACAATGTATGGAAAACTCTGCACTACAAGGTAGGGATTTCAAATATTCCTATCAAACACAGAATTATTAATAGTAAAACTGTAAGAATTCTATTATGACATCAAAGAAAAGACACAAAAGGGGGTACACTAATGAAGGATCATGAAATGCTACATAAATTAGTCTTTAAGTAAAAATTCAGAAGATTATTGGGAATAATTAAGACCTATCTTAATTGTATATGGGTAAACTGCTTCTAATATTCTACTCATTAGCCATTTTTATGTAGTATCTGTAGGTTCAAAGGGTAAAACATAAGAAAAACACTTTGTTATTCAACTTGCAACTAAAAGAAAGGAATACTATTACTGAAGAATAGGCCTAATAGACATAATCTAACTTTAGAGCAGTTCTGAGAGTGTTCATTTTCCTATAAGCCACCAATCAAAGCAGAACTAAGCACAGAGCTAAAAGACAGATCTGTGTTGTTTGACAGTTGGGTTACCCATTACAAAACTTCTCACCTTCCCTGAGCCTTAGTTTCTGATTTGTGGGGTTGGATGAGATTGCGGTACACTTCCAGTACACAGTGGGCACATCCAAATCTTGTATGGACACAGTAAGAAATAATGGTATCCTGCTATTCTCTATGAAGTCTTTCTGAGAGCCAGGAAAGTCAATGGGAGATAGAAGGTACCTCTCATTGATGCTAAATATGAAAGTACTCCCTCTTTATGCTGGCATGCATTTTAGGTTTCCTACGCTCTGTCTCCAACTCCTTAAGGTCACACAGAAAGAGTAAAGATAGATAGTAGAGGTTTGTGGCTTAGGTCTTGAGATACAATCTTGCCACTGGAAGTTTGAATAACAAATAAAATTGACAAAAGTTGAAGGACTCAGTGGACCCATAATGATAATGTTACTAGTCAACTTGAACTCTTCTTCCAAGAAATTTCTTGGAATACACAAATGTGAACACACTAAATAGAAAATAAATTATGATATGGTACCGGTCTATGTGTGTATACTATCAAATATGCATGGGTACATACTTTTTTTGAGACTGGGTCTCGTGTAACCCAAGCTGTCTAGCTGAGGATGACTTCGAACTTCTGATCTTCCTTCCTCCACTGAGTACTAGGATTCAGGCATGCACCACCATGCCCTGGTTTATACAGTCCTTGGAGATCATGTGCATGATAGGAGGCATGCTACCAAATGATCTATGTCCTCAGACCTTAGTATGTTTACCATCAAAGTAGTATACTATTATTTGGATGGCAATCTACTTTTCTCAGGAAATAGAAGATATGAAAAAGAAAATTATCAACCCAGCCTATGTATATACGTAGGTCTTGAGCTAGTAGTTACTTTAACCAAGTATGATATTGTTTGCTTACCACAGAAAAGATGTCCACAATTTGTTTCAACGGGAAAGGAGGCCTGGTGTAAGCAGACTGGGCAGTACATTTCAGTGTAGAACTGCTGTCGAGCAGGAGCAGGGACATCCTGGTGAGAGGACACAGACACACCTCTCAGAACAGAAATTACACATACACAACAGTTTAAGGTCTTGCAAGACTGAGAAGCTTGCAAAGTTATATTGTTTTATTTAAGCTACTTGGCCTCCACCTTCCTTCCTAAACACAATTTGAAAACAAAATACAGATTAACTCAAAGTTTATCTTTTACTTTATGACAATGCATACAATATTTTGAGTTCCACAAGCTAATATATAAACTAGAGAATAAGAAACATCAGGCTTCATAGCAGAATCATCATCAAGAAACCAGAGAGACTTCATCCAGCAACTGATGGGAACAAATGCTGAGTCCCTCGTCCAAACAGTAGGTGGAGTTCAGGGAGTCCTGGGAGAAGGAGAAGGAAGGATAGGAGGAACCAGAGTGGTCAGAAGCACTATGACACACAGAATCAGGACTCATGGGGGCTCATAGAAACCAAGGAGGTTATAGCTGAGTGTCTTCATGTTCTTGTTGGGAACAGGGAGCTGTCTCTGACTCTTTTGCCTGCTTGTGGGACCCTCCTACTACTACTGGGTTTTCTCCTCCAGCCTGGTCTTATTGTAGCTTATTATGCCATTTGGTTGATGTCCCTAGGAGGCCTGCTCTTCTCTAAGGTGAGGTGGAGATAGGGTGGAGAACAGATCTGGAGAGACTGGGGTAGAAGAGGGAGGGGAAACTACAACTGGGATGTTAAAAAAAAAAAAAAAGGAGAGAGAATAGAACAATAAAGAGAAATTTTTAAAAAAAAGAAAAAGAAATACTAGGCTTCAGTGAAACTCAGCATGCCTGAGGCCCTGGGTTTGATCCTCAATACCATCAAAAGAGAAAAAGAAATATAAAACTATTATCCTTAGTATTCATTTAAAAAGTTTTAAACTTAAAAAATGTTTTTTGGATTGTTTGAGCTGGGGTCTTGCTATGTAACACTGGCAGATCTGGAATTTACAGCAGTTTACCCCAGGTCCTCAAATGCTAGGATTGCAGATATTGTCTTGTTTAGTTTCTTACATCCTTTTCTTTTAACAGCTGTCCTCTGTCTTTTTTTATTATTATTCATTTATGTATTTATTATGTATATAGTATTCAGTCTATTTGTATCCCTGCAGGCTAGAAGAGGTCACAGATCTCACTATGGATGGTTGTGAGCCATCATCTGGTTGCTGGAAATAGAACTCAAGGCCTCTGGAAGAGCAGCCAGTGCTCTTAACCTTTGAGCTATCTTTCCAGCCCAACAGCTGTCCTCTGATAAGTGTTGCATATCTGTTTTACTTTGTACAAGAACTGAATTAAACTTCCAGTGAAAATTTGCTAATGTTAGAAGTAGAAAATTTTAACACTATTGGTAACTTGAACTTGGTCCTTCACAAAGTCATGCTGGTAAACATTAATATGCTTTTCAGTGCACATGTTTGTAAATCCCAACAGCAAGGAAGTGGTAGGAAGGAAGACAAGGAGTCCAAGTTACCTTTGGTGACCTAACAAGTTCCAGGTTTGGGATACATGAGACTTTGTCTCAAAAACCCAAAACCAATCAAAATACATACATCTATGCATATTCCTTGTATGCATCACTGTTATGATCAACATCAGTGTTGAGTGAAATTACTAGTAAAAGAAGCTCATATCAAATACCATTGTGAAATATAAGTGCCAAGAAGGCAAAAAGTCCACTCACAGAATTCATTGCAGTACCTGGGGACCTGGAAAACTATCTAGCAACTAACATAAAATGTACAGCTTCATCAAGGGATTGGAGAGCTGGCTCAGGGGTTAAGGACATAAACTATTCTTACAGTTTGTATGTTCAGTTCCAGAACCCACATGATGGCTCACAACCATCTACAATCAAGTTACAGGGGATTTAACACCTTCTTCTGAATTCCATGGCACCAGGCACATACACAATGCACATAACATACATGAGGCAAAATATTCATACACATACAATAAATAGGTATCAATTTTTTTAAATAAAATAATTATCACAAAAAGTCAAATTTAGTAAATATAAACTTAAATAAATTAGTTGGGCAGTGGTGGTGCATGTCTTTAATCCAGTACTCAGGAGGCAGACACAGGTGGAGCTCTGTGAGTTCGAGACCAGCCTGATCTATAGAGAAGTTCCAGGACAGGTTCCAAATCTATACAGAAAAGCCCTGTCCTGAACCTTTCTCCCCTCCGCCCCCCCCACAAAAAAAGCAAGCAAGATACAAAAGCTAATATTACAAAAAGAAAATATTTAAGTATTAAAAGATTTTCCACATTTTGTTTTTTTAAAGAATGTCCTGTCTCTTTCTAAACAGAAACAAAGGAGTGCATGGTGGAGGACCAAGTGGAGGTGCGAGGGAGCCGGGAGGAAAGGAGGATGAAAAAACTGCTGTTGGAATGTAAAATACATTTAAAAAACTAATTAATTAATAAAAATGTCTTATCATATATAAAAGAAGAAGAACATAACAATAAAAGCCCAATAGGGTAGCTCATACCTGTAATCTCAGCATTAGGGAGGCAGAGGCAAGTATGTCCCTGTGAGTTTGAGTTAGAGGCCAGCTTGGTCTATATAGCAAGTTCTAGGCCAGAGAGGACTACATGATTATATATCAAACAAACAAAAAGAAAGGAAAAAAGTTTTTTACTTCATTTCAGACAAGGCTAATATTACTTCTATACAAACAAAAACAAAAATTATAGAACAAGTTAATAAAAATCATATATGTATCTGTATAGATTAAGACTAGTAAATTTGCAACTGGGTTCGGTAGTAGTTCCAGTACTTGAGAGGTTCTGGTGGTTTAAGTAAGTATGACACCCATAGGCTCATATAAAAGTTCAATGCTAGCTGGTGAACTGTTTTGGGAAGGATTAGGAGGTTTGGCCTTGTTGGATGAGGTTTCAAAAGCCCATCCAGGCACAGTCTCTTTGACTCCAATTTAAGGATATAAGCTCTCAGCTACTGCTCCAGAGTTATGCCTGCCTGCCTGCCACCATGCTCTCCACCATGATAATGAACTAACCCTGAGAAAAAGTAAGCAAACAAACCCCCAATTAGATGCTTTTTTTTTTTTTTTTTTAAATAAATTTCCTTGGTCTAGTCAAAATAAGAGAAAAGTATCTAAGACAGAGGTGGAGACAGGAAGATAAGGAGTTTAAGATCATCCTCAGCAAACCCGTAAGTCCTAGGCCAGACAGAAATACATGAGATACCTTAATGTCCCTCCAACCCCAACAAAAGAAGAAAATGTTAGATGAGCAGTGCTAGTGCACGACTTTAATCCCAGCACTCAGGAGGCTGAGACAGGTGGATCTCTGTGAGTTTGAGGCCAGCCTGGTCTACAGAGTGAGTTCCAGGACAGACAAGGCTACACAGAGAAAACCTGTTTGGGGAGAAGAAAAAAAAAAAAATGTGCTTAATCTGACAATATATAATCTGAAGAATAACTAATATAAGGAGTAAAGAGGTTGATGTTTCTCAAAGTTATTTTCTAATGTGTCACCACCACTGCATACAAAGGAAGTTATAACATCCCCTTATATAAATACATATTCTATATCACCATACCTGTTCTGTTTGAAGTTGTTCTCGAAGCACCCTGACTAGTTCTTGGTTTTCTGGATGAATGTTCTGCTGTACATTTCTGTTGGAAAGAATGCAGTAAATTCTGAAAAGAACTATCATATTAACCTCTCTGTGTTATTAGTCTTAATTTTTTACCACAAGCCGATGAGATGGCTCAGTGGATACAGGCACTTGCTGTGCAGGCCTAATGACCTGAGTTAGAGCTCCAGAACCCATATCAAGGCGAAATCAGAGAGCTAACTCTACAGAGTTGTCCTCTGACTTCCCAATCACACTATGGCAAGGACCTCCCAACCCCATAAATAATAATTAACAATTTTAAAACTCATTTACTTTGTGTGTGGTGTACATGTGTGTCTGTATGTACGGGTATGTGCTATGGCACACACTTAACTTACAGGAGTTGCTTCTCTTTTGCTATGTAAGTGCTGGGATTGAACTCAAGTCATCAGGCATGGGAAATGTATTTGCCCACTGATCCATCATCCTGGCCCAATAAATATACATATTTTTTTTAATTTTAGAAAAATAACTACATGAGGGCTGAAAAGATAGCTCAGAGGTTAAGAGCACTGGCTGCTCTTCCAGAAGTCCCAAGTTCAATTCCCAGCAATCATATGGTGGCTCACAACCATCTATAATGAACCCAATGCCCTCTTCTGGCATGCAGACATATATATATATATATAAATAAAAAACTCATATACATAAAATACATAAATTTTTTTCTTTAAAAAAAAATAGAAAAAAGAACTACTGGTAACTGAATGTAACAAGTGTAACAGATGATATACAACTACACTCCAATTCCAGGATTATGTATTCGAGGCTACTCTGTGACTTAAAGATTCTCCCCAAATCTATGATCATCAGCTGATTTCAGGTTTAAATGGTAAATGATTAAATCCAGATTCCCAGTATCTTGAGAATTTACTGCAACTTAATAACATATAGAACAATTAATACATTTCTTTTGTGAAGTTTCTTTGAAATAAGAAGTTAAATAGCTCTACAAATTATACATCTGAACACTTCCACATCTAACTAGGTCTTTTTCCTATTTTTTCATGTTAAAGGAGAAGAGAAGACCCCAGAAATTAAAATTATATATGGTAAAAATGCCAAAGCTAACTGTGCTGGTTGATTTTTTGTCAACTCGACACAAACCCATATATCTGGGAAGAGAGAATCTTAACTGAGAAAATAAATTGGTGTTCAACTCACTGGGTCACCCCTGGGCACAGATGGTCCTGGACTGTATATGAAAGCCAGCTAAGCAAGCCACGAAGAGCAATCTGGTAAGCTATACTCCTCCATGGACTGTGTTTCAGTTCCTGCCAAGTTCCTATCCTGATTTCTCTCAGTAATGGAGTGGGATCTGAGAGCTCCAACAAGAAAGAGAACCTTTCCTCCCCAACTTGCTTTTAGTCATGGCCTTTATCACAGCAACAGAAAGCAAACTAAGACAGGAGTATACCACTAACTTCTTAACAACTATAATGGAAAATCAGAAGCAAGCAGTTGGCAGCAAATATAAAGGAATGGGATTAGGCAAAGAGAGCACTGGTATTAGTAATGAGGAAGATTTCTTTGTTTTTGTTCACTTTTTCTATCTAGTTATTTTGTACGTATTATCCATACCACTGTCTAGTTGGTGGACTCAATTATAAAAATTTTTAAAGGATAGTCTCATATTTAATCAAAACGGAAACTATGAATTTAAATATTCCCAGCTAAGTCAGAAAAAGTATGGCAGCATTCAAAGCTTAATGGAAAATAAAAATACTTTAGTACATATACACAGTCACAGAAACCAGATATTACTGGGAAGAATCAAAGAGTGGTCGACCTTTAGAGATACCCAGTACCTCAAATCATTTATCCTTTAGTCTCACCTGAAAAGTGCATATAGGAGAGTAGCAATCAAAGCAAAACTGACCACCACTGCCACAAGCACTTGATCACTTACTCCTTCTATAACTGAATCTTCCTGTTGCAGACTTGGAACTTCACTGTAGTATTTGGCCATTACAGGTCTAAAATAAGAAGAAGCGACAGTGACATACATTAATAAAAGCAATGTAAGTATTTCTTACTTCTAACACATCTAATACAGCATGCTCTTTAATATGGATTCCATTTAGTACAACTCCAGTTAAGGTTCCCCTGATAATGCCTTTTTTTTTTTTTTTTTTTTTTTTTGGAGGAGACAAAAATGGCATTTTCTCTAAGGAAACTACTTTTTTTTACCACCATATCTATTTTTAAAGTAAAATTTTTAAAAATGGCTTTCCTTGTGGGATGGAGAGTTAGTTCAGTGGGTGGATTATACGCCTACCATTCACAAAGTTCTAGGTTTGATCTCCAGGACTTATAAAACAGATTATAATAGTGCATGGAGGCCAAGACAGGAGGATCACTGCAAGTTCAAAGCCGGTTTGGATTACATGATGAGTTCTAGACCAGCCTGGGCCACAAGGTAAAGTCTCAGTCTGGAAGGCAGGGGAAAAAAAACTGAGACAGAACTAAAAGTAAATTAAAACATTTTCACTGTTTAGGCTTAGTTATTTTAAAGAAAATATTCTCCTACCCCAGCTGTTCTTTTCTAACTCCTGAATATCAAATAAAATCTTTAAGTAGATATTATTCCTCTGTCGTAGCATGTGAAGAGGAAACATAGTCCTCTATAACACTATATTAGCCAGCACATGCTCTACACACAAAACTTAGTAAAAGGGACTGACCAAGCTTACATGCAGTAAAGACAAAGGACATCAAACTCCTTCCCAAATTCTAGAGAAAAACTATAGCACCCAACACTACAAGTACAATGGGAAACAACCCAACTACACTGTAGGCCAATCACCCTTGACATCCAGTGAACAAAACTGTAATGCTCACAATCTTATATGACAACTTAAGGGAAACAATGGAAATATTCCATTAGATGTCTAATAGTATAAAGTTCTGCATTTATATAAACTATTGCACTGAAAAGTTTTATCCAAGGCTGACAGATGGAGGTCTTGCTTAGCATTCATAAACCCAGTTTCAATCCCTAACTCAAAATAAACTGACCCTCACCTGAAATCCCAGCACCTGGGGATGATCTCCAGCACAGAGGTGAGAGGATCAAAAAGTTCAGAGTCATATAGCAAGACAGGACTGATATTAGCTTAGTACATAAGCTCCATCTCAAAAACAGTTTTATCCAAAACCAGTAATCTGGTGAATCTTAAGAAGAAAACAGTGTGAAAAACCCATATCCTTGAAAAGGATCCAAATTAGCTGCCAGTAAATTACCTCTTAGGGAAGAAACCTAAGCAAAGAAATACATCAATGATAGGTTTCATCATCTTTACACAGCATACTAGTCTGATATACCAGGAACTTTTTAAGGACAGGTTTCAAATTCCCATTGTGAAGTTAAGAGATTGGGAGGGGGAGAGGGAGAAAGAGAAGGAGGAAGGTGGGAGAGAGGAGAATGTGTACTCTACTTTTAGTATTTTCATTTTAAAACAGCCAAACTGAAAAAAACAAACAAACAAACAAAAAACAGCCAAATGAACTGCTGGCTGAAGCTTGGGGAGGGGGGCATTTGAAATAATCTAAGGACATGTCAGGTAGCCAGTTAAGTTATTTTCTAGGTATTCTCTTTTTAAATCATATATGCTGTGGCTGTGATTAGTGCCCGAAAGACAGGGGTGGGAATGTAGTTTGGTTGGTAGAGTGCTTGCTCTGCATGCATAAAACTCTGGGTTCCATTACTAGCACCACATAAACACACTGGGGAGGGACAGACAGGAGGGTCACAAGTTAGAGCCAGCTTGGGCTCCATGAGACCTGTCAAGTGTGGTGGCACATGCCTTTAATCCCAGCACTCAGGAGGTAGACGCATCAGCTGAGGCATTATAGTTATTACCATTATTCACATTTCTCCTATGCTGTAACTTAAGCAGTCCATTTTGAGAAAACTGGATAACTGAAGCCATTGGGTGGGCCCATAAACAGCACAATCTGTCAAGTGCCACCCACCCAGCACAGACTAATAAATGACTTACTCCTGGAAGTAGAAAGGGAGACATATTATTAGTATATTGAAATAAATTTAAAGTGTAAGGGCACAAAACACATTAAAATAACATCATGGAAACCAGGAACAAGAACTTCTCCAACATGGCAGACTATGGAGAGTATAACTCTTACCTGGACCCAGTGAATAGTCAACTGTCTTAGTTACAGTTTCTATTGCTGAGACAAAACACCACAACCAAAAAGGAATTTTGGGGGAAAAGGGTTTATTTGGCTTACATTTCAACATTTCTATTCATCACTGAAGGAAGTCAGGACAGGAACTCAAACAAGGAGCTGATGCAGAGGCCATGGAGGGGTGCTGCCAACTGGCTTGCTTCCCATGGCTTGCTCAACCCACCTTCTTATAGAACCCAGGACCAACAGCCCAGGGATGGCACCACCCACCAAGGGCTGGGCCCTTCCCATTGATCACTAAAGAAAATGCCTTATAGCTGGATCTCATAGAGGCATTTCCTCAGCTGAGGCTTCTTCCCCTGAAGACTCTACCTTGTGTCAAGTTGACACACAAAATCAGCCAATACAATACCTAACTCTGGGATGACATGCTCCTACAACTACCTACGGTCTAGATACTTGATGTGAGCATCAAAGACCAATAAGCACAGGACTCCCTAATCGTCCTTGGGGTTTCAGCTTGGCTGCCTGGCCTCTTTATCCACCTGAATCTATGCAGGAACCCACCATTTCCTGAGCCCTCAATTTAGCTTTTTACCTTGCAACTGGACTCTAGCTTCACTCTCCAAGCCTGACTTCAGAAGCTCCCTCCTGGCATTACCTATTAATGCAGTTTTCCTCAACCCTTTTTTGAAATCTTTTGAACTCTGCTGCAGGTGTGTGTGTGTGTGTGTGTGTGTGTGTGTGTGTGTGTGTATGTATGTATGTGTGTGTGTGTGCCTTATATATACATGTGTCTTATGATTTGTGATATGAGAGTTAATGTTACTAATTAAGACTAGAATAAAAGGACCTACTTTTGCCTCAGCCAGATTATCAAGGTAGGTGGGATTATATGACAAACTGATGTCATTGAACCTCATGTTGTGATTCCACAGTCTAATTCTGGAAAGTCACAAACATGTTCATCTGTTTCTGACATGTGTGTTCACCACCAAATGCAAAATTTGTCATATGGAATGACACCACCTTCCCAAGTTCACAGACTGCTGTGGTTGAGAACTAGCCTCCACCTGAATAAGGCCTACAAAGACAGCTCAGAAAAATCCCAACACACCTATTATGGGTCTTTTCCTAATACTGTTAGGGAAAGGGGTCTGGGTGATGGGCCAACAGGAAAAAAAAAAAGAGGAGGTTGGGAAGAATTTCTAGAATTTCCTATAACAAAGGATATTTGGTTATTCCCCAACCCTCAGGTTCATGTAGCAACTTGATGGTCACATGGCTTATGTAATTACTTTCAAGGAGCTTTTAATGTAATTTCTGTCCTGAAAAGTAATTGGAAGCAAAAATAAAGCAGTAATGATACATCAGACATAAAAACACCTTGGACTCAAAGACTTGAAAAGATGTACTCTAAATCAATCTTATCAAAGCCTTGATAGTTAATGTAGTACTACCATAGTCCCTTCAGCAAGGCTAACACCTGTGGTCTCCAAGCCAAAGACAAGGTCCTAGTCAATGTAACATATTCTTACTATTTACTTACCCAACAAGATGGAGTCACTAAAAGGTGACACAGGTTCTACAGAAACAGTTTAGTATGGAATGTAGGAACTCTAGTCTGACAAAGATCCAGAGGCACCCACATAGAGCCATAAGCAGAGGAGACACACAAAGTTGGGATTTCTAAAGTTATTTCTGCTCCTGTAGAATGCTTGCAAGGAAAACCTTTGAGAAGACTTCAGCTAAAATTTATTATTTATTTGTTTACTATTGGTACCAAAGACTGAATTATAACCCTGATGTTTGCTAGGGTCATAAACTAATACTATATCCTCAGCCCAAGATTTTTTTCCCATCTATAAAATGATCGATTACATGTGATTGTTAAGCAGTAGTCGATAAAAGTATCATTAGACAAACTCAATGCTATTTGGAAGCTGTAAGGGCTCTGAGAGAAAAAAATCGACTTCTAATGGGAAGGCTCCAGGAACTGCAAAGTGAAGGTGTGTCCTGGGAAGTTAACTTCTGAAACACTCCAAATCAAACTTTACTTGACCTGGTAGTTAAGCGTACCTTTTGAATCCACAATTCTCCTACGACTCCAAAGCATGTACCTTGTATCTTGGTGTCTTGAAAACGACGATTGCTTTGCATTAAGGTCCAGGTAGAAGACTGCCTATTAAAGCATAGTTCTGAGACGCCCTAAACTGGAACATAGTGCACATTAACAGCAGAATGGATATAAGGCTGTATTCACACAATGGAATACTAGACAAGCATGGGAATTTGCAGATAATGTAATATTAGCAATTAAAAGCCAAACCCAAAATATGGGTCCATTCATAAATGTTCAAACTCAGACAAAAGAAAACTATACTACGTGCATACTCATCTGGCAAAGCTAAAGGGGAAAGCAATAAAAGTGCCTGTCACAAAACTCAGGCTAGAAATGATAAGCGTGGAGGATACTCTTGAGAAACTGGCAATTCTTTTATGAACACCCCTCAAGCATATTACGTCCTACAGACTGTTGTGCACGCCACTTAAAATCGTATATGAAACCCTACAAGGTCTGTCTCAAAAAAAAAAAAAAAGATCAAAGTTGGACAATGGAGCCAATTCCCAACGCGACAAGAAACAGGCCTTAGGAAGAGTCAGGGGTCCTCACGCACTGGTGAACTGGCGTCCACCCTCTCTCACTTCGAGTGAAGTTTTAGGGGATAGGGGGCTACGAGGAGGAACGGCTGCTCGTCAGCCCGGCCGAACCCGCCCCCAGGCCACCGAGACGCGCCCACGTCAGCCGCCCCACCTTCGCCCCGCGACTCCGGGCCGGCTCGGGCGAGTCGGGGCTGAGCTGAGGCTTCCGGAGGAAGGCGGCGCACAGAGCCCACCCTCGCGCCGAGGAGCGCCGCCCCGCAGCCCCACCGCGCTGAGCCGAGCCCGAGCCCCGCCGTGCGCGCCCTCCGCGGGGCTCTGCGGGGGCGTGGCCTGGCACAGGCTCGCGGCCGGGGAGGGGGCGCGCGTACCTCTCGGCGGTAGAGCAACTATCATCGCTGCAGTCCGTGTGACAGAATAGAGTTCATTTCCGGGGACTGCCCAGCTAGCTACTCCTCTCGGGCAGCGGCCACCAGCCGCTTCTTGAGCAAGAGCGCCGGCGTCGGCGCAAGCGCAGTGCGGACCTCTAGGGAGAGTGAGCCGCAAGTGGAGAGAATCCAGCCGCCGCCGCCGCAGGGCGGGGGCGCGCGCTCACGCGCCGGGGGCGTCGGGAGCGCGCCTCCGCGGGCGGGGCGGAGCGAGCGCGAGCGTGCGCAGTGGCGCCTGGGCCTCGGCTCGCGCTAGGCTGCGCTCGCGCAGGAGGGCGTGGGCGGGCGGCGCCGGGTGCGCGCAGGGAGCGCGCGGCCCCGAGCAGGAGAAGGAGGGGCTGGTGACAGTGCGGAGCCACTGCCAGCGTCCGCGCATCGGGAGCGGCAGGACGGAAGAGAAGGTCCTCCAGACGCCGGTCGGCTGCCCGAGCCTTCGGACTCAAGCCCGAGCTGAACGGCCGCGGCCTCTGGTTGGTCGGGGAGGCTCTGCGGCCACCTCAGGAAGATGTTTAACGTGGAGTCTGTGGAGCGGGTGGAGCTGTGCGAGAGCCTGCTCACTTGGGTACGTGGTGGGGCAGCGGGCCGGTGGGGAAACTCCGCAACCTTCCCCGGGCACCGGTGCTCGTCCCGAGGGGCGAGCGCCCGGGGCGACTGCCGTCACATCCGGGGCTTGGGACGGGCGGAGCTGAGGAGCCGGTGCGGGCCGCGTCTACACCGCGGCCGGCTTAGGGACAGCAGGGAGCGGCCGCGCTCAGGCAGGCCGGGCCCAGGGTCCAGGAGGAACTTGTCCGGCCTGAGATGTTGGCTGCTGTCCGAGAGGAAACCTGCCCGGTGGGGGCTAATGATGGGGTGCAGGCGACACTGTAATTAGGACTGTTTGCAGTGATGAGGCGCTGGCGCTTCGCTCCCCAGCTCCCAGCTATCCAAAGCGTCGGTTTTGCCTGGGCGCCCGGTAGAAACACTCGGGACCCCTGGTTACGATGCTGCTCGCCTTTGTTGTAGCGTTCAGCCAGGATGGTGCATAGCCCCTTGAGGGATGAAGCCCTGCCCATTGGAAAATAGTACATTGGAGGGTAGGTAGACAAAACATGAAGAGTCACCCAGAGACAGAACATTTGAGATGCGAGATGCATTTTTTGACTGTTGTAAATGATGTGATAGTACTTACAAAAGAATCAAGGATTAAAAAAAATAATTAAGCTGGGAGGGTTTAGGGAATAATTAGTAGTGTAACTGAAACAGTTTTTTTTTTTCTTTTTTAAAGCAACGTGAGATTCTAATTTGGAATCGATAAGGGTTAAGGTTATCGAATTTTAAAGTACGTTGGATTTTAATGTCAATAGTCGTGGCTTAAGCAGCCCTTTCCAATAGCTGAGCAGTTAGCCTGTGTTTGTTTTTCCATACGGTGGTTGGAAGTTGGTACAGAGCCTGGGATAAATCAAGTATCCCACAGGGAACATTCGTTTTAGTTATGGCTAAAAATTGTTAACTGCCCTTTTTAGAAGAACACATATTACTGTGACGAGTGTTAATTTTGTGTGCTTATTGGGGAAGAAGGTGGTGAGTGGACCTCTTGCGTGCTAAGTGAAAGCTCTACTACTAAGCTCTTCACCTCTCCTATTACTCACTTTAAAGGTAAAATGCAAATACCAAAAGAAATTCGTTTGAACAGTGTCTTGGGTTAGAGGTTCCAATCTCTGCAAGCTAGTCATCACTGTTTTGTGCAGGGACACTACTGAGAAGTGTGAGAACTGTTAAATTGGTTGTAATAAAGGTAGACTCTAAAGATGTGTGTTTTGGCATTAAAGTATATGATCTTGAATTTGTAGTAGTCTTTCTGCCTCAGCTTCTTGGGTACTAGGACTATAAGCCTGCATCAGTACAACCAGCTTCAAGTTTTTTTTATAATCTAGGTATGTAATGAAACTGATTTTGTCTTTTGAAACATAGGCTTTAAACAATGAAGAACTTCTATGGTTTGGTTTTGTATTGGATCGTTCTTGTAATTTCAGGTTGTTTGAAATAATGCATAGTTAACATGTTGTAAGTTCTAACTTCAAGCAAAAAAAAAAAGATAAACTTTACTGCTGTGCTTCAAGTAGAGGATGGTGATAGGTTGTATAATGTAGCTAAGCCACAGCCACCTTTCAAATTATTATTTGAACCAGGAAGATTCTAAAAGATGGAAAATATTTGTTTTTGGTTTGATCTGATTTTGTTTGAGACAGGGTTTCTCTTTGTAGCCCTGGCTGTCTGAGAAGTTGCAATGTAGACCAGGCTGGCCTCAAACTCAACAAAGATCTGCCTGCCTGCTGGAATTAAAGGCATTTACCACCACACCACCCAGCACAAAAAAGATGGAAAATGTTTAAACAAGTCAATATATAGCAAGCAGAGTGTGCTTAAAACTTACCCCTTAACATGGAAAATGTTTTAAAACAGTCAGTATATAGCAAGCGGGAGTGTGCTTAAAACTTACCCCTTGTCTCCTTCCTAGCCTCTGAAGCAAAATATATCCCTACCTAATAGGGGAGGAAATATGCTGTTACATCTGTCAGTCTCTTTTTAAAAGTTATTATCGTGTGTATGATTGTGATGTGCACATATAGGCACAGTTGCTACCACATGCATATGGAGGTTGGGAGTCAACTTTCAGGAGTTGGTCATTCCATGTTTCTCCAAGCAACAAACGGGTTGCAAGTCACCAGACTACTGTGGTAAATAAGCACCCTCACCTACTCACCAAGCCACTTCTGTAGCTTGTTTTTAACAAATATTTTTTTTTAATTTTTACTATTATGTGTGTGGGTGTGTGCACACTCATGTGTATCACAGCCCTTTTGTGGAAGGCATTGAATAATTTAGAGGTGTCATTTCTCCTATTATTTGGGCTTTTCCTTTGTTTGAGTTTTGATCAGATTTTCTCCTCCCCTCCAACTCTGTATTGCACCACTACTTGTCCTTCCCAAGTTCATATACTTTTTAACCTATTGAAACCATTTAGTGTTGCCAGTATATATGTGGGTATAGGACTATCTACTGGAACGTGGATAACCTAGGGATTGCACCCTGAAGAAAACAGACCTACTCTTCTTCCTCTAGAAGCTGTCAGCTGCCAGTAGCTTCTCAGCAACATGACCTCTTCTCTATTCATTCTAGAATTTTGGATAACTTGATCTTGTGCAGGCATTAGGCCACAGCACAGCCATTGTAGATTCTTATATGCACCATCCCTTTCATGTCCAGAAAACACCTTTTTGCAGTAGTTCTCCATAATTTCTGGTCTTAGAGTCTTTGTGCCCCCTCTCCTGCAGTGATCTCTTGAGTCTTGGGAAGGGCTGAAATATGGATGTCCCTTTTAGGGTTGAGCACTCTACAACACAATTTGTTATTCTCTGTATTCTGATCAGTTATGAGTCTCCATATTAATTGTCCTCTACTACAGAAATAAGCTCTCTGATGAGGGTTGGGAGCTGCACTATTAAATGACTATAAAGATAAGTATTTAGAAGGCAGTTTGATAGTGTGTCAATTTGACAAAACAATAGCAAGTTTTCTTCTAGAGTGTATGACCTACCCAGCATGTGTTCTTGGCCAGTTAACAACACAAAACATGGATTCTGGTTTGTGTAGTGGGCTTTGTATCCTATCAGAAAGCAATTGCTTACTCCCATAACACTGATGCCACTATTACACCAGTGGGCATATTTTTGCCAATCCATTTGCCATTGTAGCTTGCAGGATTCACAGCTGGGTAAGACTTGATTATTTTTATCTTCTAGCAGACTGCACAGCACCATCTAGGACTATGAAAGCTAGCCAATAGGGATTAAGCTTCAAGGTCAACCAATACCAGTGTTTTTGTACATGTCCTATGGCTCAAGAATGTAGTGTCTTTAGCAATAGCGTCTTTCTTCTGAGTTTTGGTGGGTAAACAAGAGCAGTGACAACAGCCTGTATTGTTTTACACATCCATAGGATTCCTCCCACATGACTAGCAGCTTAAAGAGGGGTAACCAAATCTGGTGCTGCCCATGCCCAGCTTCTTGAATTCTGCATGGATCATGATGAAAAGATTGCACTTTCCTAGGTCTCAGTTAATTAATTTGTTTGTTTTATGATGCTGAGGATTAAACCTGGGGTCTTTACTGTACAACTGAGTTATATAATTCTAGCCAGTTACCCAAGAAATTGGAACACAAGAAACAATCAAGAGGGGCTGGAGATGTATTGCCACAGTTAAGAGCATTTGTTGCCCTCACATGGTGGTTCACAAACATCCACAGCTCCAGTACAGGGGATCTGATGACCTCTTCTGACCTCCACAGGCACCAGGCATGCATGTGGTACACATACATACATTCAGGCAAAGCATACACTTATAGTCTTAAGACATATTTAAAAAGAAAGAATCTAGAATGCTATCAGATAATGACATGAAACTAATGAGAAAAGAATCATGGTTGTGGTTCACTTCTGTGAAACACTCCAATCTTTGTGTTCTTATTTTCATATTACTTATGAGCCTAAGAAATACATCTGACATTTAGAATACCTCCCATTCTATTTTCCTTCCTTTGCCTAACCTACTATCCTATGAACAAATTTGATCCTCTAATTCTAGAATAAAGACATTTCTGATATACAAAGGTTTAAAGCCCTTTGGGGGCAAAAAAGAAAAAAAGTGTAAGTAGCATGGTGGTTGCTGGCTGCATCGTGGTTCTCATACATTATCATTGATCAACATCACCTGTAACTTTAATCAAACCAGTTTACTAGGCCGTGGGGCTAGAATTTCTAGGTCTGAGGCAGGGTTGATATTTGCATTTCTGTCATTCCCAGTTGATGTGTAGTTAGTAACCTCAAGACATTTGAGGACCATTGCTCTAGAGCAGGTTTTAAGCTCACTGCTGTGTGATAATTTGGACTGAGTAATTGTTAGGGGCACTGTTGTGTGCATTTTATGATATTTAATAGAAACATTGCTGTTTACAAAATAATAGTGCTTACCTTGCTATTCCAGACTCTCCTAGGGAACAAAAAATACCACTCCTGGTGGCGAACTACTGCCCTAATGTTGCTAATTCTAAGTAATCTCATGATTTACTTTGC